GAGGGAGTAACATTGAAGAAAAGAGATGGATCAAAATTCTTGGACAAGAGAAGCACACAAGTAGGGGGAGCAAGCTCATGAACTTTGATTGGTTGCATTTGATATATGCATAGTCATGTGCTTGCTTGCATTGCAAAAATTTTTAAATTCAATATGCATGCTTGTGTGGTGTATGCTAGTTGAAGAATTTGATTGATGAAATGAAAACTAGCATGCATAGGATGATAGCTAGACACTTGGTATGTTCTTCAAGTAATGCTAGTACCTTGCTTTTAATGTTGATCTCATGAGGTATCTAGTGATTTTATTTCCAAATGATATCTAGCTAACCATGGTGCTAAGGATGAACTTAAAGGTGCAACCCAATTGGTATCACGCTTCAAAGGTTCACTCTATACACCTTAGCATCATTTGGTAGTAATTACTCTCTCACAATTCTAATCTATGCATATGTGCGAGCTTCAAACCAAACACTCTAGCACATATGTAGGGGGAGCTAATACTACCATTTCCGGGTTTGTGGTACTTGTCCAAAATCATTTACAGATGGTAAAATTGCTTGGGCAAGCAACATGAATCCAAAAGAGCTTAATTTCTATATCTTTGTAGAGTTTTCATCAATTACCAAAAATGGGGAGATTGAAAGGTCCTTGTGTGGTTTTGGTAATTGAGTGACAACCTAGGTGGACTAATTGTGTTTATGTGAGATACACGGTGATTAATCCACAGGTACATGTGTGTGAGCAACATATGCCATGAAGGTGGAAATGGCTCAGAGATGTTACAAAGCTCACACATGTGATGATGAAGAAGTTCATTGCACATGAGACATGACATTGAGTCATGTGATCAAGGTGGAGAAGATCAAGACATGACTTGGCTTGATGGACCGGTTGCAAGCGTGAAGGGCAAGTTGAAGGCTTTAGAGCAATGGACCATGTGGCGGTGAAGCTTGAGCAAGACTTGGCGCCGATAGACGAAGGCAACGGTGAAAAGCAAGTGAAGTCAAGATCGATGAACCAATATGATCACGTGATGATATGAAGTGGATCATATCATTGTTGATCGTGTTGGTGCATGTATTGCATCGACATTAGAGGAGATGGAATGGAATGCGTAAGGTAAAGGTATAACTTAGGGCATTTTATTTCACCGGTCAAAGGTGTGTAGAGAAGTTGATGACCGGGTTTAGGATAGATGGTCGTACTATCAAGAGGGGCAAACTTGTTTGCATATCGGTCATCTAGTGTCACTCGAGTGATCTAACTTTGCATTATCGCTAGGATTGAGTGGCGTGGCAAGTTGAGTGGCTAATCCTTTGAAAAATATTTGTGAAAAGCTAACACACATACACATGGTGGTGTACACTTGGTGGTGTTGGCACATTTGCAAAGGAGAAGGAGTTGGAGTTGATGTGGATCAACTCGGTGAAGAAACGGCAGCGAAAGGAGGTCACTGTGAGTGACCGGATGCTGGCCTCGGTAGGACCGGCGTGTCCGGTCAGTGGCAGCAGTGAGCACGCGGTCTCGGTCTTGTGACCGGATGCTGGCGCGAAGAGTGATCGGACGCTCAGGGTCTACGTCTGGTCAGTACTGACATACCCTGACGTGGTGGCGTGAGGAACAGCAGTCACGCGTGGCACTCAGAGAATGACCGGACTCGGTGCTGCGTCTGGTCGTGCAAGAGCGGACGCGTCCTGTCGCAAAACAGAGGCTCGAGGAGCTCTCTAGAAATGACCAGACTCTGGTTGGTCTGTGTCCGGTCGTGCAGCAGCGGACGCGTCTAGTCGTGAATGGAACCTCTCCGAAACGATCGAACTCGGCAGAGGTGCGTTCGGACTTGGCATTGTGCTGCGTCCGGTCATCACTTGACCGTTGGCGCGTGGTAGTTGACCGTTGAGATCAAGCGATTGAGGTTGAACGGAGGCGACACGTGGCATGCATCCATTGACCGGACGCTGGACCGGGTGTGTCCGATCGATCTGACCGGCGCGTTTGGTCATCCCGAAAAATGCCCAGTGAAGGGATAACGACTATTTTAGCCCATGGGGCTATAAATAGAAGTGGTGGTCAGCCTTTGGTTAAAAGCTTAGTAGAGCTGAGCATACTAGAGCCTTGGTGGCTTATGTGGTAGTGCTTGGGAGCCCTCTAGCTCACTCTAGCTTGATAGTGATTATCCGATTGAGTGAGTGAGCGATTCTAGTGCAATTGCATCGTGAGGTTGCATCGAATGGCACTAGGTGGTCATCTTGCAAGCCGGTGGTGCTTGTTACTCTTAGAGGTTGCCACCTCCTAGATTGCTTGGTGGTGGTCTCCGTCGAAGCCCGCAAGAAGCTTGTGCGGTGCTCCGGAGAAGAGCTTTGTGAGGGGCATTGTGCTCGTCCCGTGAGAGCTGCGAAGAGCAACTCTAGTTGAGCGTGTCATTGAGCTACCCTCACTTTTGGGGTAGGTTCTTGCGGTGCCCGACGTGCGGGCTTGGCGGGTGATGCCAATTAGCCATCGAACCACCAAGTGAGCAGTCGACACAACAGGGACATAGCGTGTTTGTAAGCACGTGAACCTCGGGAGAAAATCACCGTGTCAACATTGTTCTTCCCGTTGGTTTGCAATCCCCTTACACAAGCTTGTGGTTAGTTTCATATGCATTGTGCTTGTGTAGTTGCTCTTTTAATTAGTTTGCTTGTGTAGCTCACTAGTTACGTTCTTGCTTGTGTAGCATAGAAGTAGCTCCTTTGCATGGCTAAATTTGTTTGTGTAATCGTGTTTGTCACATTGCTTAGTTTGTGTAGCTAAGTATTTGCGCTCTCTAATTTGGCATTGGTTGCCTTGTTATTGAGCATTGCTAGTGAGCTTAGGAGCTTTGTGCTTTTGCTTACTAGAATTGTGTAGGAGCTCCCCGGTGTGTAGAATACTAGTGGCATAGGTTTGTGTGACCTTACTCCTAAATTGGATATGTGAGCTCTAGCTAGCCCATCACTTTTGCTGTCTAATTAGGATCTTTATAAAGTGCTTGTGAACTTCGATAGAGGGGTGTAGTCTTGGCTAGACCGATTGTTTTAATTCCGCATTTGTTTCGGTTAGCCAGGCGTGATTAAATTTAGTAATGACTATTCACCCCCCTCTAGTCGTCATCTCGACCTTACAAGCCCGTGTCCTTTGGGTTGGGCGAGACCTTTTAATACGTTTCGAGCCATCCGGGCGCTAACTTCCTTGTGCCGCGACTCAAGTGCGGCAGTGCCTCTCTTCAAATGTGGCAGTGCCGCACCACGCAAGACAGCAAGGGTAATAGTGAAGTATAGACTGTCTTGGCTGTGAATCTGAGGATGCATGTGATTGTTTGAGCACTTGGTAGCACATATTAGCTTAAACATTGTGTCCCCTTTATAGTACGGCTTTTCCTATACTTAAATTCAAAATATAAAAGAATTTAAACATTCTTTGAATTTGAAGCCATCTATATTTGTAATTGGGGGCTCCTCCATTTCATGTAGCATCCTCGAATATAAATTCCTTGCTTGTCATCTCGATAAATCTTATTAATTCTCTAATTGCGTAGTTATTATCACTAAAATCCATAATTAAGACTTGATTGCACTTTCAGTAAGGTTTACTGAAATTATTTTGCTCAACAAATCAAGCCAATCATATAGATTAGAGTCAACCAAGGCGGTATAGAGCTTAATGTATGTGATATTGTAGCGTCTTTTCTCCGCTCAATTTTATAGAGGGCGGGGTGTGCACCACTAAAGGATTTATCACCTATCCAAGTATACTATCAAAATCTAGTTCGGGACCCATCACAAACACAGAAGTGACCACATGCAAGGAGTTAAGCCTTGACCTTCGTAAGACACACCAAAAACGTGAATTTCCTCTGGTTGTGGGTAAGAGTTTTATTGGACAAGTACTTCCTTTTAATAAGGCTTTGCCAAACACCCTTTTCATTAGTAAGTTTAAACAACCATTTGGTCCAAAGGCATTTATTTTGGATATCCAAATTTTGGATCCTCAATCCTCCAAATTCTTTAGGCCTACAAAGAATACTCCGCAAAGTGAGTCTATATTTCTTTTTATGTTCATCACATTGCCAAAAGAATTTGGAACGGTAATAGTCTAACTTTTTTAACACACCCCTGGGGATTTTGAAGAAGGAGAGCATGTACATGGCTAGACTAGTTAAAAATTGAATTAATCAGCACTAGTCTCACCCTCCAGCTGATAAGAGTTTACCTTTCCAACTACCCAGCTTTTTCTAAAATTTTTCCTATATGACCAACCAATCCTTGTTCAAAAGCTTGTGATCATGCGTGGGAATACCAAAGTATCTAAAGGGGTGGAGAGGTTTTGCCCCGCTAGGAGTTGAAACTTTTATATTTTTTGTATCAAACACAACTTCAAACTCTATTTAATAAACTACCAAAATCGACTTGACTGGTTTCCATGGATAGATCTTGCCAAAGTCGTAATTCTCTCATCTAGGATTAAAATTGACATTCTATATATGCATTTCGATTTTCTCGATGAAAAGACAAAATTATGAAAATCCAATTCATAATTGGACAAAGTCACAAGGAAAACCAGCCATGCCGGTTTTTCTAGAACATCTAGGATTTGCCAATTTTTGTGTCAGCACTATTGTAATTACACAATCCCTAATTTTGGCAGAGCTCTATCTGATGTCACATAGAGGAACACAATGGTGAAATCTAGGGGTATTTTGTAATTTGACATAGTCATTTTGAGAAAGTAGTTAGGTCGGTTTTCCTAGAACACAATGGGATTGGTTAATTTTGGTGCGAACATTGTTGTAATTCTACATTTCCCTTGATTTTAGGAGAGCACAGTAAAGAAGTGACGCAGAAGTGCAGAACAGTGCATGGGAATATGGGATACTATAGACGCGTAAGTTATTACTGTCGAAATCGTTCCACATGACATGCACACGTAGTTATTATTACATACATAGTGCTCTCTGTACAAACACTGTTCACGAGAGCAAAGTTAGAATCTGTTGAGGCCAGCGACGGCGAGGACCGGACTACGCACCACAAGCTTCCCAGACACCCAGCTCAAACTCCCCTGCACAACATCCTGCCCCCCGGTTGCTTGGCCGCTCACCGATACGCTGAACGTCTTCTTCTCTCCCGCCTTGGAGAACACCAAGGTCGCCGGTGAGACCTGCACTTTCAACGACCCCGGCACGTCCACCTTCGCCGTGTACGTGGATGCCGCCGGCCCCACGTTGGTCACCGTCCGGTTCACCGTGAACGGCGTCGGCTGCAGAGGCACGGTGATGGTGGGGTAGTTCAGCTGCGCCTCGGCCGTCTTGGGCAGCTTGGAGCAGCTCAGGCTCGCGTTCCGCACGATGGTTGCTTGGGCGCGGTCGCCGAGCAGCGCGCAGAGGTAGGCGGCATACTCTGGCACGCTGAGGTCGTAGACCAGCCCGGGGTCGGCGGCTCTCGTGGGGTTCACATGTCCGGCTCCTGTCGCGTGTGCGCCGGCCTTGCCATGCTGCTCGTCCAAGATGGGCCCGCCGTTGGTGTCAACCTCGTCGGACGTGGTGAGGATGGATGACTTGATGGCCGCTGGCGACCAGTCCGGGTGGGCGCTCCTGACGAGCGCCACCACGCCGCTGGTGTGCGGCGTCGCCATCGACGTGCCGGATATGATGTTGAACCTCCCGGAGCCGCCGGAACTGCTGGAGCTGGTCTCCGTCTCGCCCAGTGCTGGTGGCCATGCTGCGAGGATGTTGAGTCCCGGAGCCAGGATGTCAGGCTTGAGCACGCCGGGGGTGACCGCGCTCGGACCCCTGCCGGAGAACGAGGCCACGGTTGGGGACGGACGGGCACCGAGCACGGTGCTGTTGAACGTGAAGAAGGCGGCGGCGGCCGAGGAACTCCTTCTTGTGGATGTCGCGTAGTGAGTGATGTTGACTCCAGCGGCGGTGCTCACTTGCACGACGCCGGGGCCGTAGTCCCGGACGACTATGGTGTAGCCACTGGTGTTGGAGTTAGTCAGCACCACGCCGGCCGCGCCAGCGCTCAGTAGGTCACGGATGTTGGACATCTCGGTCGGCAAGTCGGTGGCCTCGCAAACCAGGATCTTGCCGGCGACGATGCTGCTGTCATCACCGTACTGGCAGTGGCGCCGCTCCTCGGAGAAGAGGAGAGGATATTTCTTGTTGGGGCTGCTTGAGTTCTTCACCTGAGTCAGCGCCTCTCCAGCGACGTGGGGGCCGTTGACAAGCTCCACGTCAGCCTCGAGGGCCCGGTCCACCGAGCCGGCGGCGACCGTGAGGATCCACGGCGCGTCGTTGACGACGGACGATGGCGCGGGGCCGCTGTTGCCGGCGGCGCACACCACGACGACGCCCTTGGACACTGCGCTGAACGCGCCGACGGCGATGGGGTCCTGGTCGAACGGGAAGCTCACGCTGCCGCCAAGGGAGATGGAGAGCACGTCCACCCCGTCCTTGATCGCCGCGTCCAGTCCAGCGAGTATGGCCGAGCTGTCGCACCCCTCCAGGACGCACACCTTGTACATCGCGACGTGCGCGCCGGGAGCGATCCCCGCCGCCGTGCCGGCGGCGAGGCCGTCTCGCGACGCGCCATCGACGAAGTTCCCCGCCGCCGTGGACGACGTGTGCGTCCCGTGGCCGGCATCGTCGCTGACGCCGTCGTCTCCGCCCCCCACGAACGACCTGGCGCCGATGAGCTTCTTGTTGCACCGGGCCGCGGAGCCCGGCGCGCACGCGCCCTTCCACCGAGCCGGGGGCGGTGGGACGCCGTGGTCGTCGAAGGAAGGGTGCGCCGCGTGGATGCCGCTGTCGAGCAGCCCGACGATGACTCCCTTCCCGTACCCTGAGCTGTTCCAGAACCCAGCAGCGCCTCGCGTCAGCCCCAGGAACGCCGGCGTGTGTGTCGTCGCGAGCTGCAGCGTGCGGTCCGGGAACGCGCTCACGAACCCTGGCTTCTTGGTCACCGCGTCCAGCTCGGAGTCGATCAGCCTCGCGGCGAACCCGCTGAACACCTCCGTGTACGAGTGCACGAGGCGTTGCTCGCCGGAGTCCGTCAAGGTGATTGGCAAGAAGGATTCCCAGTGATGGCGTGGGGTGTCTGTTTCGGGAGGCGGCTCGACGAGCACTATGTGGACTCGGTATTTAGAAGTTTCTTTTTGCACGTGGTGAAGCCTCGCGTCAGGGCTCACGTAGGACAGCACAGGAGCAGGAAAACGGAGGATGGTGAAGAGAAATGGCAGCAATAGGTACGTAAAGGATAGGGATGCCATTGTTGTGCAACAACTGCACCAGGTAGGAGTATCAGGGGTGGGTACTGGGTACATATGGACAGGGAATGACTTTTAATTTATACGCACGCAGGTCATTTGCTATTTTTAGCAAAGCATTGAGCACATGGAACCAAATTCAACAGCACAACTCTGTGCCAGACGTGCCTCACACATTTTGATTAGAAAGTGGGCAATGTTCACAGACCAGTCGTACGTGATCGAAGCACTGTACATCTGCAACTATCGCCTGAATGTAGACGGGTAATTCAAACTCGTACACAGTGCTTAACATTATATTTTTATGGGCGTACAAAGGTAATGGAAATGTCTTAATGCTTTGATATCTAAAAAGCTGGTGCCACGGTAGAAAGAGAACCAATGAGGCTCAAAACAATGACTACGTACGCGTCACATCTAGATTAGTAATCCGCGTGTGCGACACACACATATTTATGGTTACGACAGGTAACTTGTAATTAATATATATATTCACATGGTATGGAAATTAAGACATGATTATATTGCATATGCATACGAGTTTATACTAACAAACATGCCCATACATAGTTACATTCAAAAAAACATGCCCGTATCTGGCAGGGAGTGAACCAAACAGTCCTGTAGGGCGTGATGAATACGAATTTGAATTCGACTCCCTATTTATCATCACTAGATGTGGGTTGTCCTAACTCGTATAAGTATGGGCTATGAATTTAGGGGCTGGTTTTGGGGTCGGTTTTGCCAACGTGGCACACCAAGCGGGCAGACTTAGCCACCGTGGCGCTGGGGCCTTGCTGTCAGAGCCGTCGACCAGAAAAATCCCGTCCCTCTCTCGCCTCTCCGCTTCGCTCGCTCGCCGCGCTGCTGCGCGCTGCTTCACGTTGGCGGTCGCCAGCGCCACGCCGCGCGGGTGCCGCCACGCAACCCGGGCGCCGCCGCCTCCACTCCTCGTCGGGCTGGGCGCCGCCTCCTCCACTCATCGCTGGGCCTGGGCGCCGCCTCCTCCACTCAACGCCAGGCCCCGCCGCCTCCTCCTCCACGCCGGGCGCGGCCTCCACATCCACGGCGGGCGCCTCCTCCTCCTCGACGCCGGTCCTCCCCTTGGAAAGCTCCTTCACATGGTTGGAATTCTCTCTACTGACAAAGTAAACTGAAGTTTAGCTGCACAATTTTCAATTTCAGAGAAATTGTGAAACAAATTCTGAACTTATTTCTATTACATGTTACCATGATCATGGCACAACAGATACAAGACGCAGGGGGGAGGTATTCTCTTCGTGGATGACCTCACAATTTAGAAGAAATGTTTCAGACTGAAGAAGGCAGGCAGCCCTGATGGCGTTCAGGATTGGATACTGTATCTTCAGAGCTGTAGAAATTTAATCTCTGTAACTAGATATCTCTGTGTAACTGTTGGATGCACAATTTCCTTTAATAAAATTACAGGTGGGGATCCTCTCCCCCCTTTTGTCTTACTAAAAAAAAGCCAATGCAAAAATCCGATGACAAGGATTATGGTTTAGAAGCCTTGGAGGAGATAATGTCTGTAATGGACAGTGGCAAGATAGTTGTGATATTTGCTGGGTACTGTGAGCCAATGAAGCGAGTCATCGCCTCGAATGATGGCTTCTGTAGGCGGATCACAAATTCTTGTATTTTGATGATTTCAGCATGATAGAACTAGCAGAGATCCTACATATGAAGATGAAGAGCCCAAGTGAGAGTAGCTTGCTTTATGGGTTTAAGCTGCACCCAAGCTGCAGCATTGAAGTCATTGGAGAGCTGATTGCCAGAGAGACCACTAAAGAGCGTCGGAAACAGATGAATGGAGGCCTTGTAGACACACTGCACATCAATGCAGTGACATGTAAATTCAATAGAATTTTTTTCTTGATGATCTGATGCTTGTCTCCAAAGATGAAGTTATGCCTGACAATGACAGGGTCTCACCCTTCAATGTTTTTTGGTTATTCTTTCTGTTGTATCTAGTCATTGCTAGATTGATGTACACATATAAATAAATATAACTTGTGTATATACATTCATGTTGATCATCCCATGACTCGATATGTCAGGCCGAGTTGATGTTTCAGTTGAACCAGGATTTAGAAACAAATGCACGAATCTGTCATGTGATGACATTCACTTTCAAAAAACAATGTCATTGTTCACATGCCATTGAGCTGTGCTCAAGTGCATGGACCATACATGCACAGTTTATACAGGAATCTCAGGAACAATAAAAGGCTCTGTCATAGGCTAACAGTTAAGCATGTCTCAAGGCACCAAGGACAGTAATATAAACCATTTGCATTTCAACTTTAGTTAAGGATAAGTTCCATGCCTGACCAGCTATACACAACAGGCTGCATGTCTGAGATACATGCAAACACCATCAGACAACATGATTCCAGCTAGATTACTAAAGACCTGCATGCCTGAGCAGCTATACACAAAAGAAGGCATGTCTGAGCAGCTGTACACAAAAGCTTGGATTTCTAACCACTATGGTCATTCCTATACACAAAAGATTGTCATTTCTTGCCACCAAAAGTTGACATTTCTATGCCCAAAAGCTTGACATTTGTATGCATAAAAGCTTGGCCTACATATTCACAACCTAACATAACAGCAGGTGTTGCAGCCTCCCTCCCGCTTGGCTTGTACTAGCCTGGGTTCCTCCCCTTCTTTCCCTTGATGCAGCCTGGGTTCCTCCCCTTCTTCCCCTGGTTGGAGCCTGGGTTCCTCCCCTTGTACCCCCTGTTCGAGCCTGGCTTGATGTTGCTTGACTTGGTCCAGCTTGACTTGTTGAAGCATTCTCTGCAGGCTGTTGTAAAACTCAGTTAACAGAAAGGTAGAGGCAGCAGTAGCAGTAGCAGATGTAGTAGCAGCAGCAGTAGCATTTGTAACACTCAGTAATAAAATGAGCACTTACCATCTGAGGAGTACTCTTCTTCCTCTTAGCAGTAGTAGTTGCAGATGTAGTGCTTTGCTTTCTTTCCTTCTGCCTCTTGATGTGTGCATTTTTTTTGCCAGCTTCAGGGTTCTTTGGACATCTCCTAGAATTGTGGTCAGACTTGTGGCAAAGTCTACACCTCATCTTGATGCCAACCCTGCTTAGCTTGGTTCCTTTAGGTTCTTCACCTGCCTCTCTTCTTCTCTGTGTCTTTGGCCTCCCTGGCATCTTGACAAATGATGGTTGTTCTGGTTTTGGCCTCCTGAATTCGTACCATTACCTTCTTCCTGATTGCCTCATTCATGGATATCACAGGATAAAATCTTGCATCCATAATGGAATTGTTGAAGCTCTCACACATGTTGGTGTCCACTGAATCACAGTTGGAACCAAGTCTAAAGAAAGCCCTACTCCAATGTTCAGGTGAAGTATTCATCGTATCCTTTGCTCCCTCTGGGGTTGTCTTGTGCAAGCACAGCCCTGTTGAAGTTGAAGAGCACTCTACAAGGGGACTTGGCACACCTCCACCACTTCTTCTGCAACTTCTTGTCAGTATATTTTTTTCCTCCAGTTTGCACATATATGCCTTGCACACATTCTGTGCTCAGCATTAGGAATGAGCTCCTACACTGCCTTTAACAGTCCCTGCACAACAACAACAACAACAACAACAACAACAAAGCCTTTAAGTCCCAAACAAGTTGGGGTAGGCTAGAGTTGAAACCCAGCAGAAGCAATCAAGGTTAAGGCACATGAATAGTTGTCTTCCAAGCACTCCTATCTAAGGCTAAGTCTTTGGGTATATTCCATCCTTTAAAGTCTCCTTTTATTGCCTCTACCCAAGTCAACTTCGGTCTTCCTCTGCCTCTCTTCACGTTACTATCCCGCTTAGGATTCCACTACACACCGGTGCCTCTGAGGTCTCTCATTGCACATGTCCAAACCATCTCAACCGGTGTTGGACAAGCTTTTCTTCAATTGGCGCTACCCCTAATCTATCACGTATATCATCGTTCTGAACTCGATCCCTTCTTGTATGACCGCAAATCCAACGCAACATATGCATTTCCGCGACACTTAGCTGTTGAACATGTCGTCTTTTTGTAGGCCAACATTCTGCACCATACAACATAGCAGGTCTAATCGCCGTCCTATAAAACTTGCCTTTTAGCTTCTGTGGTACCCTTTTGTCACATAGGACACCAGACGCTTGCCGCCACTTCATCCACCCTGCTTTGATTCTATGGCTAACATCTTCATCAATATCCTCGTCCCTCTGTAGCATTGATCCTAAATATCAAAAGGTATCCTTCCTAAGCACTACTTGACCTTCCAAACTAACATCTTCCTCCTCCCGAGTAGTAGTGCCGAAGTTACATCTCATATACTCAGTTTTAGTTCTACTGAGTCTAAAACCTTTGGACTCCAAAGTCTCCCGCCATAACTCCAGTTTCTGATTCACTCATGTCCGGCTTTCATCAACTAGCACTACATCGTCCGCGAAAAGCATACACCAAGGGATGTCCCCTTGTATGTCCCTTGTGACCTCATCCATCCCTAAAGCAAACAAATAAGGGCTCAAAGTTGGCCCTTGATGTAGTCCTATCCTAATCGGGAAGTCATCCGTGTCTCCATCACTTATTCAAACTCTAGTCACAACATTGTTGTACATGTCCTTAATGAGCCCGACGTACTTCGTTGGGACTTTATGTTTGTCCAAAGCCCACCACATAACATTCCTTGCTTTCTTTAATAGTCCCTGCAGATGTGCCAAATTATTAGTACATATGTCAAATTATTAGAAGCTGATGCAGTAACAGTACCTTTTGCTGGTCAGAAATGATAACCCAAGCTTCACCTCCATTACTGATGTTCAGATCCTTCTGTAGCAAACCAAGGAACCAGTACCAGCTCTCATAAGTTTCTGTGGCAACTGCAGCCAACAGGGTACATTTGATTGTTGGCATCTCTACCAACAGCACACAGCAACTGACCATTGTTAGCACCCTTGAACCAGCATCCATCCAAACCAATGACTCTCCTG